AAAGAGAAGGAGGAGGGGTAAAGAGCCGTCCAAAAACTGCTTGGCAAAGCCCCCTCCCCCGCAACAGTTGCAGTAGCGCAAATAGTGAAAAAATTCCATAAAAAGGTAACAAATTACCATACAAACACAGCCAGATCACTGAAGATTTATAAGATGGTGTATAAAATATACGTTAAGTGATATAAAAGAAAATGAAGAATACGCACGCGTATGATCTTTTCGGTTATGGTTTTGGAATTTCCTGTATATAAAGGGAATACATTTTAACAAATGCTATTGCCCGAACAAAATACTCAAGTGCTAAATAAATCAAGTATTAAAGAGCGTTGATATGAACTTACATAGTTTTACAATTAATGTTGCTTTCCGATTGTGTCACTGAACTGATAGATGGCCGTATGAATGGCTATCGCGATATTGATTTAGCTCGATTTTGGCGGTAGTAAATAAAGATTTCGCAATCTGTTTTGTTATTGGGCGCTGAACTTGTCGCCCGCTCGTAAGGTACGCTCTCTCGTATTGCTCTCCCGATGCGGTTTCCTCTCCACCTATGTCACACACAAGAAAGGGGGAGGGGGGGGGGGGGGGGGAGGACGGCGGATAAAATAAGGAGTGCCTCAGATTCCAGCACTAAGATGCTGTCTCAATATTCATGAAATAATAAGTATAGCCCGACCACCACACCCTGTATACTATAGTAGAGTTCCCCTCCCAAGGGTATACCTTCATATGCTATGTTTTAGGAGAAATGTAAAAAAATATAACCTGGAACAACATTGCATACACTGAAGTAGTGTATTATGGGTAGGGTTCCGTGTTTTCGGAGCTTATTTTGTGTCAATTCGGAGGGTGTTTTTCGGAGTTTATTTTTTTGCCCAAGATTTGGAATTTATCGGATTCTATCTGTCTTATTCCCATTTTTTTTTTTAAATCCGAATTTTAATTTTGCTGTCTTTCCTATTAAATAAATAAATTAATAATAACCGGATGTAAACGTATGCCAGATAAAAAAATAAAAATAAAACGCGCTTGTATCAATTAAAATTTCTTGAGTTGAATTTGGCGTTGGTGCCATTGCCATTGGCAATAGGAATTGTCCCACGACAAGATTCGCATAGAAGTGTTGCTTTCATAAAGGTTGATACCTTAAAATCAATAAACTCCCGGAGGCAGTCGCTAAGAAACTCGTAGTCATCCCATCCTATTCCATCAATCTGGCCCCCGCGGTCGAGGGAGGTGGAGTGGTTACAGGATGTAATAGAGAGGTTTCAACTGCCCCTCTTCCCCCTTTTATACAATCTCTATGGCCCATAGCTTTCACTGTAACAAAAACATACCCTCTCCTCTCTCTAAATCATAAATCCCATGGTCGAAACTGGAAACCGAAAAGACTGGATTTTGTCGTGACCCGAATGTACAATGACCTGATGCCCTGAATCAACCTTGACGAAACAAGTGGTAAGACCGCTTGTAAGAACGTTTCGAGATTTGAAAGATAATTATGGTGGCGTTTTCCTAGTACCGTTAACCCTGCGCTGCTCAAATTGTAAAAAAAAATGTTTTTGATTTTTTTTTTTTAATTTATAAATTAGGGGTTTATCGGATAAATCCGAATTGACCAAAATCTTACCGGCGGGTGTTTTCGGACTTTTTCGGATTTATCCAAAAAGACGGAGCCCTAATTATGGGACACGATGGAACAGGAAGTAAACAAATTAATGGGACGCGCCGGAAATGAAAATAAACAAATTATGGTCACGTACGCAGACGTAAACAAAATCAAGGCACGTACTCGGCACCCGCCTCGGTTCAACCGTGTAGCATCCTCCCACGTGACCATGACGTCAAGTGGGAGCACCCTGTTCCTGATTATGCTCCAACCGGGCAGCTATTTCAGTGCAGACTCGCTGAATCAAACTACTGATATTACCGCCAACAAATGCGGTTTACACCTGACTACGAAAAAAGTTCACAGTCACATCAAAGCCATCATCAGGAAGGAGACGTCCGAGCTCGACAGTGTGTCACAAAAAAGAACGCAGCGGCAGACCGAAATGTCTGAGCACGTTTGAAATATGCTCGGTATGCCGCTTAAAAAGGTAAGCACGTCGTACGCCTCTGTGACTCTTTCATGTAAGTGTAACTCGTACTGAGCCACATAATTATGAAGAGCGCACTCTTTTGTAAAAGGGAATGCTAGGCGAGGGAGGCACGATGTGAACAAGTCTAAGTGGTCTTGCAGTGAGTCTGCACTGGAATAATGCTGTTGGTCGTCGGAAGAGCACAGGTGACAAGTAACCGTGATGGGAATGAGGTGGCTAGACGATATTCGTAGATAGCCGACATCCAGGTGACGAAGTGGCTAGATGATCCGGGTCGTCTATGTATCGGTGACCTTTTCAGATGCCGGAACAAAAACTCCTATTAGGAAGGAGAACGTGTGGCGTTTAGATTGCTCACCTTGTCGTGCAAAAAGGGTGGGATGGCAGACCGAGGTGATTTTTCTCCCTCTCGATAACCCAATGCTAAAACAAAATGTTTTATCAGCAAGGAAAACGAGAGGCTTTTAGTCTGCTCACCTTGTAGCGCTAAGATCAGGAGGAAAACGTTGCGTGAGTCGGGTAGTTGGAGTGCGAAGCAGTATTATATGGAGGTCCAAAGCTGGAGTACGCACAGAAGGTCATATGCTTCGCAATCGCAGTAGAAGGTAAGCTCACAAGGTTTAACGCAGATTTTCCTCTAAGCAATGACCGTAGGACGCGCACGTCCGACGGCACTGCCAGTAAACAACTAAAACGAGAAAGTGGTTGGAAAGAAGCAAGAGCCTGTCAAACCACTTCAAGGTCGCTCTTTCAAAAAACTATTTTTTTTTCGTTTTTCTTTTTTTTGGTGCTTGCAGCGTGTCTCAACTTCAAGACGAACGCGCAGACACGTCTGAACTTGCTGCTTCGATAAGACTTTAATAGCGCACGCACGGTTTATCTCGAAAGAGCGACCTTGAAGCGGTTTTCACTGGTTTTTGCTTGTTTTCATTGCGAGGCCACGCATTAAGAATGCAAAGATAAATCTAAGAAGGAAAATTACAACTTCCTACGATATACGATAGGGCTAAAGCAAACGCTGCACAGCCTTTGTCGTTTCTAGAAAATATATCTCTGGAGCCCAAGTAGTTAAGAGAGTCCCTCTATTGAAGCCAAGCTAGCTCAATTAGAGTGTAGGTTTGGTGCCGCCTTTCTTTTTGGGAGGTCATGTTTTAAGGCTAGAATCCATGGGGAGAATCGCTGCGGAAAATCGGCGAATTGGGCCCGGCGGCTTTTGGAGTGTGCGTGGCTCCAGCACAATGGCTGCTACGTCGCGCGCAAAGCGAGCGTGCGGCGTCGGGCGAAGTTCGTGAGTTATTCGTCGTATAATTCGCTCCATAGAGTTCAGCCTTTACCGAATGTTTTGACATCATGCGGAAGCAGACCACATCACTGCAAACGGTTAAGGAGAGCTCAAAAGAAATAAAAGATAGAGTTTTTTTTTATATGTACGTGCGATTTTGCCACTTTTTAGAGAGATCAGAAAGGTGTCTTATTTAGTAACAAAACGACAAAAATGGCTAAGCTCATGTTTCTATAGAGGGTGATAATTTTTAATGAAAACATAATGTTGGTTTCTCAATAGTGTAAACTGCCACTTTAATTCCGTCTTCGCTTGGTGTTTCTCGAGTTCGGTAGACGTTGGTTGATGTAATAATCGTCGTGTAAGTAGGCTACTTATCTAAAATCTGCTAAATGCCTTCTTAATTATTGGTTTTACGGGCCATCTTGCATTTTCAGAAATGGCGATAATTACTATTACGGGCCGGACAATTACAAGAATTTCAAGAAGTTGCAATGTTTTAAATATTCATTATTAACATTTTACGCTTTTTACCTCGGTCTAAAACTGCGCACAAAAAGTTCGCCGCTACGACGCTTGGAAGAGTGACTACGTCATTCTTTCAGGCGTCATTCTGGGCACGGCTCGCAGCGCGCTTTTTGAGCGCGATTTTCAAATAAGGTTAGGCACGTGAAAATTGATTAATCCATATCTCAAACACTAATAAACTTTTGCAACCTTTTTTTTTTAAAGTCCCATGGCGTCTAATAGCGATTGCCGCCTACTTTGGAATAGCGGAATGATCCGTAAAAGCAATAATTAAAACTTTAATTAAAATATATATTACTTAAATTGTCATGACGATTATTCATTCCGCTAATGTCAGCCGAACTCAAGAACACCTTGAGAACATGACATTCAGATAGCAGTTGCACTCTGTTTTAAAAATTATTTTTCCACTAAATATTATCACCAGGTGTATTCTTAAGTCATTTAAAAATCACTTTAAAATGCACTTTTACTATCAAATATTTTCTTGCCAGATAATTTGGAAATGTGTCGCTACAATGTCTTTACTTTTTGAATTTCATAGTTTTTCTTGCCTAGCATATTTTATTGTTGTTGTAAATAGTATTTCTACAGAAAAGAAGTATGAAAAATCATTACTACGTGCATGCTTCGGTGTGAAACTGACTTCAGTGCAAGGTATCATAGTGAATCCTTGGCAATATCCACGTCATGAGATTTTCATTTTTATGATTCCGAGAGAAAATTAGCTTCGGCGATCACATATAGCTAAATGCGCCTCCCAAGAACATGAATATTATATAGGTATGTTTTTTCTACGTAAATATAAACAAAAATATTACCTGCACCATTATTGTATCAGCTCATGTGAAAACACTAGGTAGTGTTATCAAGAATGCGCATGCCTCGCAGGATACAAATTGTCAGCATTAAAACAGGACAAAAAAAACTAAGCAGTTCAACAGCCAGTGTGATATTCTGTGCATCCGGTCGTGCAATCAGAAAAAAACTGCCATCTGCCCTCCCCCCTCCCTTCCCTCTTGCAGGTAGAACTCCATCCGGCGAGAGCGATATCCGCGCTCTTCATTTTAGTCGACCGGCAGAGAGACATGCCAATTCATGTAGAGTACGCCACTTTTGGCCTTCTAATGGCCGGAAACTTGGGTATAGGACTGTATTTTTCGTTGGTTAAGAGGGCCAGAATCGCGTCCACTCCCGACGAGGTGTTCCTAGGCGGTCGGACACTGAAGATGCTTCCGCTGGCCGTGTCCGTACTCGCGTCCATGATCTCCGCCATCGGTGTGATAGGGTTCAGCGCGCACTACTACGCCTATGGGTTCCACTACAGCTGGAGCCTGCTGGCATCTCCGCTGCTCATACCCGTGGTGGCCGGGGCCATCATACCAGTCCTGTACAGGCTAAGGGTTACTTCTGTTTTCCAGGTGAGCCATGGGCTGGGGACATTTTCGTGATTCGCGACAGCGGTGACAGGAAGTTTAACTTTAATTCAAATGATTTGAGTACTTCAGAAAGACATGTATAACCATTTTATCATGTTTAAAGATGTACAGCATACACGTTGGAGGAGCAGAGCCTAAAGCTTAAAGTTGTACAAGAAACATTTGTTCCGAATGTGTACAACCTACTTTCAAAAAGAGTGGCCTTCCATCAACTTTTGCTGAAAGTCAAATCACTCGGAATAACACTGCAATATAGAGAAGAAGTTTGGGTGGAATGTGGGCTGAAAGTACGGTTGGACATAAAATTTACGTTTGCGTTGTGATGCACAGTAGCCTTCACAGGATCAAACATGTTGAGCAAGGCATTTGATACTTAATTTTTAAGCTTGGGAATATTTTTTTTCCTACCTCATTCACTGACCTCCCTTCGTACGTCGGCTAACCCAGGTATAGCTGAGGCGAACGAAAATTTCTGATCCCAGGTAGCACGCCAGTGAAACGCCTAACCTTGCTTCAGCTTGAAAATCTTGGTCGTAAAGGGCTTTTCTTTTTCTTTTTTTTCAAAGCGTTAGTTAGGGCTAAAATGCTTTGACGTTTTTAGGCTTTTCTCTGGCTCGCAACATATATGGTGAAGTCACTGACCTGAACCAAAGATGCTACGTACACACCGCAGTAACAGCAGTGAAGCCAAAATCTGACACATGTTTAGCAATTTAGGTCCGCAGTTGCCACATGAAAACGGAACAAGGCAACCCATTCCTTAGATACACAAAAAAACAAAAACACATTGCGCCTGGTTGTGATAGGGTTCACTTTTTGGAACGAGCTGTCTTGCTCCAAAAAGTTTTCGATCACGTTTTTTTTTTTTGTTTCTTTTTCTGAATGGGCTATGGAATGAACGTACTTGAAGCTAAGCGTGGCCAAATATTTTATCATCAGGTTTTCATTTCTGGCCGATCAACTCTAGTGCTTGTACTCATCATGACGAAGAACTATAAACGTAAATCTAGTTCTACGTTATTAGAAGACTTGTGTGATATACTCTAAAAGCTATGGCAAGGGTAGGCACGCCGAAAATCCGTGCTAAACTAAAAGTCACATGAATCAAATAATTTGGAGCTTAGGATTTGTTTCGTTTACGAGGAGTTCATAAGTGCATATAAATAAACGTTTTTACGGTCCAAAATAATGTTCGTGTTATTTTGATTATGCATTACATCCAACTGTTTCAGTATTACCAGGCATAAACATAAGGCAAATACACTCGAGTATTTATTACAGCACTTAAGAACCATGGTGAAGGCGAACGTTTATCCGCATTATTTCGAACGGTTAAGAATCTCAAAGCAATATAGATATGAATACCATACAATTTCGTGTTCTCAGTGTTCACAGCACGTTGTAAAATACAAGGTCTCGTCCTGGTCAACAAATTTGGCCAGGCTTAATGTTTGTTTTAGCAACAGCTAGCCCACAGATGACACCAGTATATTGTGTAGGGCTTTCGTTAGGTTTCTAAAATTCCCACATTTTATAATTGTGTTTAAATGACACATTTCGCTTTCATTCCTGCGTGCCAATCACGTTGCAACCAAGTATATCAGGCCACATGTAACACACAATCTGATAGTTGAGTTAGAGGGCCACTAAGCTAAAGTACCAACGTCCCAGTGTCGGTACTCTTTTTGGTCTCAAAAGCATGAAAAGCGCGCGGTACGCCTGAAAAAGAAAAAAAAAAAAAACATTGCGAGAAACAAACTTTTTGCGTGCCATACAGCCGGTGAAATATCTGCGTCCTTCTCCTCCGAACAAAACGATGAAAGCGGAAGATGTCCCTTTTTTTCTTACTTTGTTATGACTTAGTTGAGAAAGGTATTTCTCGGAAATTTAAGGACGTAGCGAGTTGTGTGTCTGTAACAACAATGCCATTCGACTAATCCTTTTTTTTTCCTTTTTTACGAAAGTTGTAAATGCATTATGCCTCTGACTTCAATATATAAAAATGCAGAGACGGAAATTATTAGTGACGAAGCATCGGCCATCTCCCGCCTTTTTTTTAATATATATATATGATTTGGCTGCGCTAGACGGCTGTTCAGAGGGCTTTGAGGAGGATGAGGACTTAGGGAAAGTCGGCGAAGGTTCAAACGAGCTGTTTTTTGTTGTTGTTTTTTTGGTCTCGGATTACTTTTCGGACGTTGAGAGAGCAGTTTTCTAGATATCAAGAAGTTTCGGTTATTCTTCGCCTCATTCTCCAAAGTGTGCAACACGCCATTTACCTCTTTATTTTTGTAAAGAGTTGAGGCCCACTAAGCAAACCGCTGCATAAAAAATATAAAAAAAAATATTGCTTCTTCTGCAAGCTGAGGAAAGTCCCAAGACAAGAGTACTATACTCGGCGACAACTTTTCTTGACAATGCAGTGGAGAGGAGGAGGGCCCGCGCACAGCTTTATTCAGCGCTCAAAATGAGAGATGGAACGTGCGCCTGTACTCTCCACTAGATTGCCGAGAAACGTTGTCGCCGAGTATAATCACTAGGCTTTGGTTGCCCGGTTGGCAGAGACGTGCGTTCATGATTGCCGTAATCGATGAGTGGGAAACATAAAACGTTAGACGACACTTGTTGTTTGAGGCCATTCAACAAGGCAAAGATTGCACCATTTCGCCATCCGCGTCAAAGATTCGGGCGGAATGTTTAAATCAGGTTACCTGGATATAATTATTTCTCAAAACACGCAGTTTTCAAATCTTCAACATATTTAGGGCTGTGCCAACAAATAATTTTCAGTAGTTTTTAGCAATGAAAAATAAATGGACTATGGGTTATCAGTGGCATTGCAAATAAGCTGGCTAGAGTTATGACAAATTGTGGGTGGTGATCAGGCGCCCGTTTTTTCGCATGTGGTTTTACTTGTTCTGCCTTATATTCCATCCACACGATCATCCCGTGGTATTACCATGGAGATGATTTTCGGTGAGGGATGTGCGTGAGGTTAAAAACCGACGGAACCAGCAGGACTGCAATCCGACTGCAGCGTTCACACTAACGGTGAGGAGCCGAGAGGGTTTTCAGTGACCAAATTTACGTATTGAGAGGTCGCATTCTCCCAAACAAGGCTCAGTGAGCGCTGTCTAGTGTAGACAAATCGAGACGCACATGAAGTTTCGACAATCAATTATGGCAGCAGTGCCGTTGGATGCAGAAGACGACGAGCTGCACCCTGCTAAAAAATAAGTTGCACCTTGAATTCGTGGGGACAACACAAATAACGTTGAATCTAAAAGAAGTTGTACGAGGAACGAGTTGAGGACGTCGGTGATGAATATCGAAGATTTCGTCGTGTGCCTCAGACCCACGTACGACTCTGCTGAGACCAAGGTTACTAGATGAAAGCCAGTTTACATGTTTCCTAGAACGTTTGACGCCTTTTCATGGCGCGTGCGCTCTGTGGAGCGTCGTACAATATCTGCCCGGCAAAAAGACAGAAGCGGCGAAAACGGCGAAGTGTTGAATGCACATTACCTGCGGTTGAAAGGGATTCCATCGTCACTTTTATGGTAACCACGAAGTTGGCGCAAAAAGAGCGTGGTTAGAAAACGGTCCTCTTTCGTTGCCCATGAAGGCCTTGACGCTGCTGGCGTCAGAAACGATATCCTCCCGTATACCTGCTCGCGTACAGGCAACCGACAACAGATTTCGAACGCCGCGCTTTTGTAGAGCTTGTCAATTGATACGTCTGAAACGCTGCCTCGGACGATATACGCAAACAGTGCAAACCATAAGTTACGCCATACTGATACAACCACCGGTATCCCGCTGAGCAAACTCTGTAAAGCTGCCGTACATGCAAAGAAAATACCGTACCGAGAATTGTGAAGAAATCCGACGCCAAGGCGGGGGACTCTTTGTGCAGCGCAAGCAAAAAGCCCCTACATGCCCTGAGATGTCTGCGTCAGAACGGCTCCGCGCAAGGGCGTGACACTGTTGCCACGTGATGCGCATCCCGGGTAACAAATGGAGGGATTCCTTCTTTCTGCGAGTACCCCTTAAACGAACCTTTGGCTGAGGTACTTTTATTGTGGGCAGTGAATCAATTCGGGATCCTTCGCATGTGGCATATTCTCGCAACCGCAAAGCGCGGGCTGATTCACCGTTTGCAATAAGATCGATCTTAAACATACGTTAAAGCCGCTGTCTCGCTGATAGCACACTAATACAAAAGACAGTTTGCAGACAGTATGTGAGGCGTGTTCCTTTTTTGCATGGCACACCTGTTACATTGGTAAAACCAATGTATGCGAATTGGCAGGCCATTGTATCGCGTACGTGAAACGCTCTATAGACGCTTTCAGCGAGTCAGTTACTCGAGCTGTCACCAGTCGGCGCGCCCTCCGGGCACTTTCCGTGCCGCCATAGCCGACCTTCAGTTTCTCGCTGTTTCTCCGCGCTGTGTGCTGCACACGCCGCTACCAGAGCTTCATTTTCGTGTTCTTTTACGTTCCGCGTTGAAATCTTGCATTTTCTTTATACTCTGTTTCATACTTAGCGTGCAACGCTGTCAAAGCTACTGGCGCGAGCGTGGGGCTTGATCTCGTTGATAATTTGCGTGCGGTCTCGCGCAAACAATACCATAGATGAAGCCACGCGCTCGCGCCAGTAGTTTGACAGCGTTGCACGCTAATTATAAAACAGAGTGGAGGTCTTTTCAATATTTAGGACTTTCATTTAATCATTTGACATAGCTCTTGTATTTTCTTATTTACGGTATGGAATCGGACAGCGAATGGATCGACGATACAAGATTATGATACTTCAGTGACCATGTAAGTTCATCCCATTCTTACGTTTTTTTCACTAATAAAGAGCAGTCAACACCATTGCGACATATGTAAATTTCAACTGATACAGTGAAGCTATCGCAGTCGTGCTTCTCACTGCATGTGCGCGCTCGTTTCCGTAAAGCCGACCCGCATCTAAGC